GTATGGTTGTGCGACTGTTGTCTACTTCTATTATTTGTATTTTGTCTTTATGTTCCCCCTTTTTTTTCCCGTTTGAATTGTTCGCCGCCCTGAGTCCTCCCGGAGAAGGGCGGCATACAAATAATAAAATACCAATACCAAATACCAGAGTATGGAGGAAGAATGGCGAGGCCAATCAAGCACAGTAATCCCACGGTCATTGAACCAGTTTTTGGTGCTTTTGGCAAAAGCAATACAATATTTGTTCTTATTGAATGGTTTAAAGGCTGGATATTGATTTCACCTGTTTATTACTAAAGGATACAGCCCATAATATTTTGGCCCATGTGCGATTCTACTCTGAGATCAAGTGCTTTAGGGATAAAAAGCCAGTTTAAAAAAGGAAAATTTACATTCTATTTATATATATTTTTTCTTATTTTAATATTGTATGCCACAAATTAAATATTGCCTTATTTTTAAGCGTACTTAGCAAACAAAATTCAGTAAATTAAGTAGGCAGGTTTCATAGATAATAGGGTTTATAAGTTTAGTTGTTTAGGCTGTATAGATTCCATATAATTTTCATGTTATGACGAATCTACAGTATGTACAACTTGATGCTTTATTACTTTTTATTGTATTTTTTATACTGGTCATAATAAAGTATTCTAAAGAAAACAGGAGGACAGAGGATTGGATCTAGAGAAATAAAAGATAATAAGGCATTTTGCTTTTGTTGTATGAAGTAATCTCATTCAGGTAATTTTTTTAAAACTAGAATTCAAATTTGATGTGTCTCATGTGCATCTAGATTAAGTTTAGCAAGGAATTCTGAACTGTAGGATGCATCCTGTGCATTATATTTAGGTATTTGTGATGAAATACACATTTTAAAATGAACATTCCCTAATATGCTATTAATTATAATAATATTACAGTTTTGCTATATACTTCCACCATCTTCCCATGTTTTAATTTTTTTTAATGTAGGAACATTATAATGTATAATATAATACAGTTAAATACTTTAAGAGAATTGGAGAGATAGAAGTTTGCTTTTAGGGCACTTGGGAATATAGGTATTAATAGTATTAAGCCAACATACAGTACATACAGAAAATCCGGTAATAGTTATAAAAATTGCTAAGATCTGACTATTCTTAATCCTTTGTTCTTTTCAGCAAATTAAATTGCTGTTACTTGGATTTTCCAAAAGATGGCACTATAGTGCCAGCAATCCCAAGTCTCAAGAAGAAAATTATTGCTCTGAAATAGTTTCATTTGACAAAAAAAAAATGCTAATCACAGTTTTGGGTTAGAAGTATAACATTGTCCTCTGGCATCCTTTTTGCCCACAACAGTTAAATTAGTAAATCTTCATGGATTTCTACATTCCATTTACAGATATAGTGGTACCTTAGTACTCGACTGCTTTGAAACTCATAAAATTTGGTACTTAATACATTTTGATGTGAAAATTTTGTCCCAGTACTAACTTGTCAGTGTTGGCTGGCTTGTCACTCATTATATTGTTCCTTATGGGAAAAAAATTGGTATTCATCATTTTTTGGTACTCATCGTGCCTCCCAGATAAAATTAACGATGGGTACCGAGGTACCACTGTATGTAAGTAGATTATAATACTTTCTCAGCACACATCAATACCACATACTCTATTGCTATTTAAATGCAAGTGATAAAGTCTAGAAAAATTAAAAGATGCAAACCTTTGTGTCCATTTGATAGTTTTGCCTTTCAAAAGGCACATTTGGCTTCTTCCTATGAAGAAAACATTTAACTGCTGCTATGGAACAAAGATTGAAGAAACCTAATTTTGAATCAAGTAGAAGTTTTAATTTACAACTAAAATTAATTAAATGTTAATTTATGAAAGGCCAATATTGAATATAGCACTAGCACTTAGACATATACTGATTTACAGTACTTTACACCCCTCTGTAAGTGGTTTACAGAGTCAGCATATTACCCCCAACAATTTGGGTTCTCATTTTACCCACCTCTGGAAGGATGGAAGGCTGAGTCTACATTGAGCCTGGTGAGATTTGAACTGCCAAATTGCAGGCAGCCGGCAGTCAAAACAAGTAGCCTGCAGTACTGTACTCTAACCACTATGCCATCATGGCTCATAATATGTTATCTTAAGATCATAATATGCTATCTTTTTTCACCACTTTCGAACTATATTATGTGCATGAAGAGGTTAGTAAGCCTGATTTATTGATGACTGATTGCTCCAGTGTTCCCCAAGGCCATTATTGCAAAACTTTGAAAGAAGCGCTGATTAACCTCTTGTTTCTGCAACTGTGTGAATTCACAGCAAACTTCAGATGTTCTATAATGGTGCTTTTGTAAATGCAAGCAATAACTTTATATTCCAACATAGGGATAAACTGACCCACCCATGATCCTCTAAGAAAGATGCCAAAAATCATATTTTACAATATGAAGATACACAATTGTTGAATCACCTTAAAATATTTTTGAATTTGAGACAGAGCCATAGATAAGTGTTCACTGATTGTAGGTTGTCATACTGGTAAATCCTTGAATTACGATAATTTGTTTAACAACTATTTTGTAGCAGCTCTGGAAAAAAGAGATTTAAGATCATCTTTGCACTTAACAACTGCCACAGATGGGATAAAATTTCAGGCATTTGATAACTGGCCTGTCTGTGGTAATTGCAGCATTTTGGGTTTATGTAATCACCGTTTGCAACCTTCACAGGGAGCTTCTGACAAGCAAAGTCAATGGAGAAGCTAGAATTGTTTAACAACCACATAATTTTCTTAACAACTACAGCCAAAAAGGTTGTAAAATTGGATTGGACTTTCTTAAAGGCTACACTGCTTAGTGATAGAAGTTCCAGTTCCAATTGTGATCATAAATCAAGGATTAAGTGCAGAGTTAAAAGTATGAATGAGATGTTCCAAAATAAATAGGGTATGTTGTGAGTGGTCAACTTACAGGTATGTATAGTAACTACTCAATCTTGACTAATCTCAAAAAGCTAATCATGATTTTCCCCATTCAGAAGGTAGGAAATTCTCAGATGACTTGTATCAATATAAAATCACAATCCCATCAAATGCAATGTGTAT